GTCTGGATGTGAACAACACATCTCAACAGGTCCTTACAACAAAACGCATTCAGTGATGGCAGCTGGATAGCATGGGCTCTTCCATGCTGAACATAGTGGGAGGAAACCCTTGCAGTTTTTACCTCCTCATCTTTTGACTGTCTTTCGGACACTCTCTGCTTATTTCTGTTTTTCTGGTGATAATAGAAATTACCCCTACAGACAGTGCTGGCTATATGCCCAATTTATCTCTGGCTGAAATCAGTAGAACCAGAGCAAATGTGATCAACTAATAAGCTATGCATATTGGCATAGTGGTTTGATTGGCATTACAGAATATCCCTTCTTAATTTCTTGTCATCCTTCCTCACCAATATGACATCTGCATTCCTTGCCGGAACACTTAGCATTTCAGCAGTGCTGAGTTAAGTGGCAGATACATTAAGGGGCTGACAATTGGTGTCCTTAGGAGAAGGAGAAAGATGATCATGACGAAGCAGGATAATACTGATGATGAAAAGGAGGAATTCAGTGCAATAAAAAATAACCCAGGATTTCTTTACTAGGTCCTTAGAACTTCCTATTTCAAGCATACGGTCAACTCCCAATAATCGCTGTGGGTAGATGATCCACACTGTGAGCTCTACCTGAGCTACTGTTGACTCCCGGGCTAGATTTTCTCTCCTGTGCCTCGGTTTCTAGGGACATTTACCAGCTGCTTGTATCTATTTCCTTTCCACTCCTTTCATGTGCAAGTAAGTTCTAGCAGATAGCAGGCCAGAAAAACAAAAAACCTAGATAAGTGTAGTATAGATGACAGTCAAAAAAGATAACTCGAGAACTCACCAAGATCCCTATCCAGGCCCTGGCTCATTATAGGCACTTGATAAATATTTGCTGAATTGAGTGAACAGAGTTGTTAGGAAGTTGAATTAGAAGACTTTGAAGGCCCCTTCCTACCCTGATATTCTATGATTCCTCAACACAAAATGACAGAAAGTTCAGAGAAGACCCAGGAGATGGATGTTCAAACTCATCAGGAGTAAGAAAAGGAAGTTGGAAATAATTCATGTCAGGCTGAGATGGATCCCAAAAGAGTAACTAGGATTGTTCTAAACTGTTGCCCACCAAATTCCCACCCAGGGTCTAAGGGGATTAGAAGCAGTTCTCTTAGGGTTGAACATGCAGACGAGATCTGAAGTGAAATTTCAGGCCTTAACTTATTTAGGGAGCCTGAGAAAAAGAGTGTATGTTGGCGGGGGTGGTAATATGCATTCTGTTTTGAGGTCCTAGATTTTATAATGTATGTTTTTGTTTTCCAGTGTCATTGCAACCCAGAATTCAGGGCAGGAAAGCTTCTTAGACATGATCTAATCCAGGCTCCAGCCCAGTGGAGGAATTCTTACAGCATCCCTAACAAAAGGTTATCCAGCCTCCAGTGACCAGAAGCTCATTTTTTCCCAGAGGCAGCAGCATTCCTGCTGGACAGCTCCCATGTGGCCAGGTTCTTTCTTCATGTCAGAGTCCTCATCTAACTTTTACCCACCGATGCAACACACACCGTGCCTGCTCCCTCCTCTTTGGGGCAGCTCTCCTGACACCTGAAATCAGCAATCACTGTTCTTTCATTTTCACTCCTTCCAGAAAATGTCCTTCAGTCCCTCAACTGCAGACACCATTTGTGGATCCCTCAATGTGCTGCTCCCCTGACAATACTCTAAATGGTCAACATAGTTCTTAAAATGAGGCTGGAAGAGTTCAATGTTGTGGAGTTGAATGCAGTGGTCCAACATAGCCTGGCTTTCACAGAGGCTAGTGAGACTGTTTCTGTCCATTCATTTCTAAATTATCACAACCATCTGTTTAACAATCACCTATTCTAGAATGGTGCTCAAAATGGCCATCAAGATGGCTGGTGCCTTAGGTTCTGGGAACCTATTTCATTGCTTCCCGGTCCTTACTTGTTTATCTTCTGCTGTCTGGTTCACCTCCTATGCCGCCAGCACAGTCATCTATTACAGTTCTTGATGGTCAGTTTGGAGCTGGGTAGGGAAATGCACAAGCTTTCCCTAACTTTCTCAAAATGTCTTTATTCTCACCATGAATGCTTAGTTTGTCTGGTAAATAGAGACTCTAAATATGAATGAATACACTCTAGGTCCCAGGTGACCACACACATGTGAGCCAGCTCAGGAACAGTTCTGTAAGTACTACTCAATAAAATCCAGCATGAAAAAAAAAAAGAAGAAAGAAGAAGAAAGGAGGAGGAGGAGGAGGAGGAGGAGGAGGAGAAGAAGAGGAAGAAGAAGAGGAAGAAGAAGAGGAAGAAGAAGAGGAAGAGGAAGAGGAAGAGGAAGAAGAAGAATGAATAAATGCATGACAAAACGAATGTCAGATGTCCCCTCCGGACCATCACACCAGTCTATGAGTGCACTCCACCTCCACAGGAGCCCGTGATTTTCGCCTCCTGGGCCATGACCCGGAGTAGATCATTTCTTCCCATCAGGATCATCCACCTAATCTAGCTCTTTCTTCTCCTGGCCTCCTTTCTTTCCCAAAGCCATGGCTGAGCAGGAGGGCAGCAAACACTATCTGATTTGCCTCCCCAGACTTCACTGTCTTTAGAACAATTTTGTTTCAGACTGTGTTTCAAACAGCCATCATGTGTGAATATGTGGCCGACAGAATTAGGAAGTGACGGAGGGTGTGACTAGTTGGTGAGCTCTGCAGGCTGCCAGGTACTTACAACTCCTGGAGAGCCCAGGCCCTCAGCAGGGAGGCAGCCGGCATCCCCGAATGAGTATTCACACTGAAAGCGGCAATAGGACTCTTGTCTCCCACCTGCCAGAGCCTGTAAGGAACCTTCTCTGTTCTCAGGATCACAGGATGAAAGGCTGTGACCAGCCTGCATCTAGTATATTTCTTCAATGATAATGTGCTGTTTCTCCTTTTCCATGACCTTCCTCTCAGCCTGTCTTGGGTTTCATTCCCCTTCACCCAGTAGAAATCTCCTTTTTAATTGCTTCCAATCTGTTTTATCCCATCTTTGCTTAACAAGTCAGAATGAAGAAAAGTGTTCTTCCCACTCTTTCACCTTCTATGCTAAAGAGCAGATGAGCATGCATTATCTGCAGGGATGTGATCAACACACCAGAAAGAAAAATGTGCTCTTCTTATCTCCAGGGACCCCCGTTTCTTGTGGGTCTAAAAGAGCTGAGCATCCACTATGAGTCCCCATGAAAACTTTTCTTGTAAATTGATTTAGAAAATGCCTGGTTTTATGCCTGTCAGTGAGCCTGGGAAGGGTGCTTTTAAAACTGCTTAGCCTCTAGGTAGCTAAATTGCTAAATTACCTAGATCAGTCATGGTTTATTTAGTCCATCTTCTTGCCTCCGAAACAGATGGGAATATTTCTTCTGTATAAAGACCTCTAGAACACAAAATCTTCTATTCTTTTGTCCAAAGTCTCACACACAAAGTTTAGAAGCTCTTCTTTGAATCTAACCTAAATCCCTTTTGTTGAAACTTATGACCTTTTATCTTCTTTTTGGTCCCTGGTGGATATCGTAAAGGAAAAAAAAAAAAACAGATACAGTTCATCGTCTGTTTGTTCACAGCCTTCTGCTTGGAGCTCCTTAGGGCTCCTCATTCTATTCAGTATCCTTCCAGGCATTTGATGACTGCTCTTAAATCCCCATTACCACCTGCCCATCACCAGCCAACAATCCCTTTATATGTGTCTCTCCTGCAGCTCTTTCAAATGGAGGGCTTGCCTCACTTGACACCTGCGTCAAGAACTTAATCAGCTAATCGTGTTCAAGAATTAGCCAGGGTTTCCCAGCGAAGGTGGTGCTGCGTCTCTAGCTCCTCTCTGCAATTTACGAATTCTCCTATAAAATGCACAGACACAAGCAGAAAGTTCTGAGAGCCCCGGGCACCGCTTCTTAGTTGCCACAACACACACTTGACAGGCTCCAGCCCCACTAAGAGACGGGGAAACAGGGTTCTCGCTGGCAGAGAGGAGGATGGGAAGAGGCCTGGGGCAGGAGGCGGGAGGGCGGAGCGCTGGGCCACGCTCTCACACCCCATCAGCAGCTCGGTCCCATACTGACCCTGTTTCCCAGGCAGAACAAAACAAGGATTTGCCTCGATTACTTTTCAGGGCTCTTCTGGCTCTCAGATTCTCGGACTCTTGGAGCCGGCAAAGGTTTCTTTTCTCCCTCCTTAAAAGATATAGACCATGTCCTTGGCACGTCTCCCTCCACCAAGCTCCATGGCCAGACCCACCTAGAAACCCTCAGAAACCAGTGTTTCTCAACCTTGTTTAAAATTATCATCATCCCTTGCCCCAAAAGAGACTTTCTATACTTCTTTCCTGAATCGACCACCCAATGAAATTGTAATACTACAAATATACTGTATATCTATTTACATACATATGTATAACTGTGCTTAATACATAAAAGAGCAAGTTTTTCTTTTGCTACCCCCAAGAACCAATTTTCACCACCACCACCATCCCCACCTTAGTGGCACTATTACCCCTGTTGAAAATGCATGACTGAGCTGAAGGCTGCCTCCTGAATGAAACAAGTAGAGTTATTTCACCCAAACTCCAAAAGCCACAAACATATTCATAAGCCAGAGGTTTTAAAAATAATCCATTATACAAGTCAGAGTGGAATCGGCCAGAGTTCCCGTTTCCTCCAAAGTAAATTACAGCTTCCCAGGCCACCCTGTCTCCTGTTCTAGGCCCCATGTGGTCCTCTTAGCCTGGGACCTTCACCTCTGCCCACAGTTCCCACATCCAGCTCCCACTCCATTCACATGAATCCCAGAAGTAACAATGGAAATGATGGGAATGAGGCGAACAATGACTGATGACGTTCCAGGAATAATCAGATCCACTACAAGGGCAGAAACAGCCCGGGCCTCAGGCAGGGTGGAGGCTCATTCCAACTCACTTGCATCAGCCCAGGTCCCCTCCCGCCTCCCCTGCAGTACATACCCCCTCACCTTACCTTGGCACACTGGCCAAATAGGTCACGAGTTTCCGTAGGTCTTCCTGTCTTATTCTGTCATGATTGCTGCGAGCAGGGAAGGTCAGGATGGGTCCACCTCGCTTATCACGGCCCCCTGCAGGGAGGGAGAGGAGGCAGTATAAGCAAACCAGACAAAAAGTGTGCTGCAGAGGGAAAAAAATGCCGTCTGAGTGCTGGATGGAGCAGGCAGAAATATGGCGCCCAGAGAAATCTGGTCACTGGTTAGGACAAGGATGCGGGGTTTGGAAGTGGGTAATGTGTGTGTTCTTGAGCAAGACTTGACTTCTCGGGTGCCTCATCGGCAAAGTGCAGATGAAAATAAAAATGGCCACATTCCAGGGTTGCTGCAAGGACAGATGAGATGGCACCTTGGAAGGCACTTTGCAAAGTAAATCTCTTTACAAATGTGAAATGATAATGAAGGCGGTAGAACTGTGCTTCTTGAGAAAACAAGCCATTGAAAGCGCTATGGTCTTTGGAAATGTAACCTTCAAACGCACTTCTCTGCAAGGCCTCTGTGAGGTGGGAGTGCTCGGGATTCAACTGCTGACCCTGGTGAGAAGCCCTGAATGCATCCACCTGGGATGTCATCGCTGGGAGGTTTTCAGATCCGCAGAAAAGACAGTAAGTGCTTTCTACACAGCTGAGAATCCACCCCTGTCTGCCTGCCTCAGGTGCCACCTGTCACTCCTGCTGGAGAGCACATGAATCTTTATTGGAAATAAGGATACTCAAGGTCTTAATCACTACAAATGCATCGGTGCACACTATGATTACAAATATTTTCTAAATATCACTTCAAAAAAAGCTGGAAGGAGTATACCGAGATGATGAGCACTGTTGTTATCAGAAGGCTGGGATTTTACATGATTGCTTTTCCTTTCCTCTATGTTCCAAATTGCCTCGTCACTACTTATTCTATAACGTAAACGTTTATTTTAATGGGTGCTACAATTAGGAAGCAGGGCCAAGTTTCTCAAGAGAGTTAGATGGGGACAAAGTGAAGGTGGCATAACCATGTCCTTACAGGCATTGGCTATCACACAAATGTGGGAGACCAGCTCCCGCGGGGTCCAGGGGTTCCCTCAGGTGGAGGCGGAGTCGGTGAGGAAAAAGGAAAAAAGACTCGCGGAGACACAGGAGCGCTTTTTCAAGAAGAAGTGTCTCACTTTATTTTACAGCATGCCCCTTTTTATACCGGGCAGTTTAACCATTGTTCCATTAGTATCAGGGTTTTACTTCCTCTTAATTCTTATGCTCCAGGGTACAGCTATACCTTTTCTATGCTAAAGACTAACTTACCGTATTTGCCGGCGTATAAGACGATTTTTTGGCCCTGAAAAATATGCCTCCAAGTGGGGGGTCATCTTATACGCCAGGTACACTTCAGATAGACTGCCCATAGTGCTTGCCCCGTGCCATAGTGGCCTCCCGATGCCCGCCCACTTCATTCCACATACCGTTCAGGCATCAGCAGCGCTGCTTGGTGTATGCTCGGCTGTTATGCGATTTTGCTGTTATGTGATTTTACCACACTCGCAAAATCTACGGTACCAGTCTATAGAGTGTGTTTTCTTTAGTGAATTACCGGTATGTTTACCGGTAATAAACTTGCACTGTTTTATGTATATGTTTGATTACATACAGCCTTGTGACAGTTTTCCTGCATGTCATAAGCATTTGAATATAAATTAAAATGTTGAAATCAAATCTGATATTGTTTTACCTTTTATTTGGTGTGTGGAAGGTGTGCGGAAGAGGGGGTAGTCTTATACGGTGAGTATATAACAAACTCTGTATTTTGAGTGGAAATGTTAGGGGGTCGTCTTATATGCCCAGTCGTCTTATACGCCAGCAAATACGGTATCCCAACTATGCCCAAATCCCTCCACCTACAATGACTGCGACCAAGGCCTGAGCCTCTACATAATCGCCTAAAGGATGATTACCATGACCACCCAATATTTATTCTAAAAAACGATTGTCTAAACAGGATCTTAAGATTTACAGGGTGTGTACTTTGACATTTACTAAGAGACTAGTAGTGTGACTAAAATTACCTTTAGTGTATAAAATATAATTATTGTGATATATCTATTAGAAGGGGTGTAAGATCTTCGTCCTACTGGGGGGCATCCAAAGGGGAATTTAAATTCTTTAAGATATAAAGCAGTATCTGTTTCTCAGTCAGAGCTTCAGAATTTGTCACAATTGCAGTGTTTGGCCATGGCAGACACTGAGGCGCAGACGGCTCCCGGCACACAAAGACAACCACCGTGTCAGGATCACAGGCGCCCCATCCCACACGCACCTCGGGAAGCTACCTCACAGCCCCACAGCGGGGACCACAAGGGAATCTAATGCAAGAGGGTGGGGATGGGCATGGCTTCCCTAATTCTAGAAAAGAAGCTTAAAGCTCAGACCTCGAAAGAAGGACTTCTTCCAAGTAAAAGCAGAGCCTCCCAAGGCCCTCACCCAAGCGTGGGTTTGTGAATGTTTCCCTCTGATTGCGGGGTCCAGAAGTCACACATACGGGGGGTGGCTCAACAAACAAAACTCGATCTATTCCAGGATACTCCTGTGGAGGGAATAAGGAGGTTGCAAGGAGAACAGGAACAAACAAGGTCAGAGCCACGGAGAGACTTGCCCTGATGAGAAACTGTGTCAGCACCACCACCTCCTCCCCTGTCCCTCCCCGAGCCCCACCCCGAGCAGGTCTGTGTAGATGTACCACAGAGATGGGGCTGGCCCCAGCTTCAGGCCTTCTGTACCACAGGCCCTGGCTCTTTGTATGAATAACCACCCCCAGCCCATCTGCCTTGGAAGTGGTCCCTATCTCCCAACCGGCTTCCACAGGAGGAAAAGGAAACAAAAGGATTAAATGGAAGGTTTCCTGAGAGCTGGGAGGTTCTCCCCCACTGTCAACCTTCCCCTCCAGATTTGAAGCTCGCCCAAAGGATTTTCACTCACTTGGGTGGTTGTAACCTCAGCTGTTGCCTTTCTTCCTGACCTTCCACGGACACTGTAAGAGTAGAGCCAGGAGAACATGGGGAGCCAAGGCTGGTCTCACTGGCAAAGGCTAACTCAGGAGTCTGGAGGGCTGTTGGCACCATCCTTCCTGAGTTGGAGCCAGTTCTGCTCTTAGAGACAGGAGCCGCCCAAAATCATGGCTGGGGAAGGTTCTACACACCGGGGGAGGAGGAGTGAGGGGAGAAAGCCTGGGGCAGTGCAATCGCCTCCCTTCGGGAAGTACGGGTAAGGAGTCAAGAGGGGACAGCAAGGTCAAGCCAGGTATTCTTTCAGAAAGGAGAGGACCTTGCAAGATTGTAGGAAGAAGAGGACCGAGCATAGGGGAAGGGAATCATTATGCTGGAAAGAGTGGGGCAATAGACGGAGCAAGAGCTCAGAGCAGGTACAAGGGGAGGGTTCCTGCCCCATTCTCTGCAGCAGGCTGATAGACTCCGAGGGAAGAGGAAACAGATACATTATAGACAGGGAGGAGGTCCGCCTGCATGGGGAACACCGTTCCTTAGATGAAGCAGGAGACGAGATCACCCGCCAAGGATCAGGGTAGGCTGGAGGTGCTAAGGAAGAGGAGGAGTGAACCATCGTGAGCGAGTATCCCAGGGACTGAAGAGCAGGGCTGGATGCGATATGGGCTTAAGGGAAGGTGGCGAGTATTGGGGCCACAGTGAGAGCTCTGCTGAGTGTGGTGTCCATGCTAGGCTCTAACTTGAGTGAAGGCAGAATAGAGCTAATGCCTGGGGTGTGAGTGTGTGTGCGTGTGTGTGTGTGTTGGGGGGAAAACGAGGGTAGGAGTTGTCCTGCTGGATTACGAGTTCCCAGAGAAGAGGGAATGGCCTAGGTTTTGTTAATCTGCTATCTATCTTCTCCCAGCTTACAGGGGAGGAGGCTAAGACCACAGGCAGACATATCAAGGGTCAAGGTCTTGGATGTGCACAGCCATGGTAGGGAGATGGAAGACTTTACTGCCCAAGGAACAGCCATGAAGCTGTAGGATTTGACTGATAACTGATCTGGGTGCTGAAGTTACAGAGGGCGATAAGCAGAGATGAAGAACGCGAACCCGCTGCTAACGTCAATGTGCATTCTGGAAGTGGGTCCCAAAGGATGGGAGGCAAAAGAAGCCACATTTTGTTCCTTTTGTCTGTATGATAAAGATGGTAGCAGGACCTTCAAAAGTGCCATTCCCTTCTCATCCAATACCTGCTATTTGCCTACTCGTGCAAGTCTTTGGTGCTGGGAGCTACAGGATGGGAAGGTGGAGAATAAAGAGGGAGGGCATGGTTTGATGGTCTAGAAATGGAACTGGCCCCCTTCTGCAGAAGCAGCGCAAGTCGGGGCTGGGGAGGAGGCAGGGCCCACAGCAGGGAATGCTCCAGCGTCCCTGGCTGAGGTGGAGGACGACGGTGCTCACATTTTTCAGGGCGAGTCAGGCTCCCGTTAGGGCAAGCAGCTTAGGGTACTTGGGGAGGAGGGAAAGAAATACACTGGGATTCATACCCAAAGTTTGGTCCATGTAACTATAGCGCTGCAAGATGTTAATGGATAACACGATATTTTTAAGGGAATGAGGTGATTCTGTTGTTTGGAAAATACTTTCATGTGCCTAATGGACATGTGCTTTCGTGAACATGGCAGATCTCTAAGAGGGGAGCTCTGATATGCAGCATTTGCCTAACTTATTTGAGAGTGGAACCCCTTTTTCTTTCTGAGGATCATCTCATGGAACTATTGTTCCATGGTCACAGATCCAGAGAGACACAGGTGCAGAGAACAAAAGACTGGGCCACAGCAACATGGAGTTTCTCTGGGAACCATGCTGTTATCTCCACAGTGATGTTGGAGAGAGGTATGGTGGCAGAGAGGGACATTGGGAGGTGGCCGAAAAGAGGGTGTGGGGAAACGCGAAGATAATGGGGGTGAATGGGCCCTGCACAGACGGTTGGATAAAAGGGACAATGGGTGCTGTGAGTGGGAGGCATAACACACAAAGGAAGGCAGAGAGATGGCAAAGGGGGTGGTTTGAATGATGGAGCAGGGTGGGACTGGGCCGGAACCACAGAGACTCCCTGAGGCACGGACACAGATCACGTCGCACACACGTGCACACACCCACATACAGAGGCTGCTGGGCTGCACTGGATTATTCCCAGTGTGTGTTCCCATGGCTGTGTGACGTTCCTCTGCTGTGGCCACGCCAGAGGCATCAGCAGGGGAGGGCATGCACCATCAACTCTGTTCTCCTGCTCACCACCTTCCTGTAGCGCTTGCTTCTTAGACAGAGATGTAACTGCTACACCGCATTATTTAATTCTGGGTTTCCTTATTTTGTCTTATTTTTGTGTTTTGTCTTCTGAAAGCGAAAGATACAAGGAGCTCTTTTTGGTTTGGTTTCTGTTTTTTAGACGCAGCCAATCATCTCCCTGGTGCCCTCAGCGTCCTTCCCAGGCACAGGGGGACAACGTCCCCTAAGCCCCAAAGCTCCTGGCACCACCATGCAGAGGGATAGGACTCACCCCAGGCTGCTCACCCAACATGAGCACATGGACATGAGCTGCAACCCTCAGCCCCCTCGGTCCTGCTCTGGGACGCGTCTATCCCCCTCACGCCCGACCACCTGCTTTCCTGGCACCTTGCTTCTGTGTGCTCCATGAGGACATCTCTCTACACTTGGGAAGTTCTTCTAGGGCTGGCTGGGCCCTGACCCAGGGCTCTGAGTGAATTCCCATGGGAAAAAAAACAAACAAACCCAATCAAACAAGGTTCTCCAAGTCCAAGTCCAAACTGATATGGAACAGGATGGTACTCAGAGGCTATGCATGAAAGCCAGGAAGGCCTCCTGAAGGAGGCAAAGAGAGAACTGACTTGGGAAGAAGAGGAGAGCCTCAGGCCGGCAGAAGGTGTAGGGGAGGCACTGCAGGTGGAGGAAGCACCAGGCATGAAAGGAAGGGGGGAACTAGCAGAATACCCAGGGGCCAGGGAGGACATCAGGTTAAATAGGCTCAGGGACATAAAAAGGAAGAGGGAAAGATCAGATCAGGCTCCCCAGAGGGCTGTGGGCCAGGTCCCTGGAGTCCAGATTACGGGCAGCAGCAGAAGTCTGAGGCCTGGTGCTGCCCAGTGGCCCCCAGGACTTCTGTACAAGGTCATCCCCCCATGCTCAGCAAGGTTCACAGAGGCTTTGGGGGTTGTCTGACCTGCACCTCTGCCCACACTGAAACCACTGCCACAGGATCCTGCTGAGGGATTACCCTGTGCTTCAACATCTGCAGTGGCAGGGTTCCCTGCTCACACATCTACAAGCACCTAACACTGATGTGGACAGGCGGCTTCCTGGTGACGCTCCTCTAACTGCAACAACAATAATAAAGCCCTAGCATTATTATTATTACTATTACTACTACTACTATTACCACTACTAATCATAATAATATGGAATGCCTGTAGGACCGCTCAAAGGCTTACATACGCCCATCGCATACTCCGCCCTCCCCTCCTACCCCGACACTCAATCCCTGGCCGTGCCTCTACCCTCTGATCGGGTGGGAGACACTGCTGCTTGGTTCTCTGCCCCTCTCTCCCTTCTCCCCATGTTGGCAGTCGCCCATCAGCGAGACCAGCAGTGCCTGTGGAGTGACCCCCTGCACTGTGGGACCACACTGACTCTCTCCCTGTGATTCCACAGCCGCTCCTTGTACATGACCAGGACCATCCAGAAACGAAAGCTCAGTCCATGAGACCTCGGCACTCGAGCGTGTTTCTCTAAATGGGATCCTTGGCTACTCAAATTGCCATTCCCCCAGCCCCTGCCCGAGACTCTGATCCAGGAGGCCTGTGTGATGCCCTAGATCCGGCACTCAGGATGCTGCTGGTGCACCGGATAGCATGGCTTTAATTACATCAGGGGTCACCCAGCTTTTTCTTAAAGGGCCAGACAGTAACTATTTTAGGCTTGTAGCCATCTGGTCTCTGCTGGAACTATTCAACTCTGCTGTTGCAGTCAGTGACAAAGCAGCCATTGACAATACTTATAGTAGACTCAACAATGGTTCCCCAAACACATCAGGTCCTTATCCTTGGAGCCTGTAACTGTCACAGTACTTGGAAAAAGAATCTTAGCAGATGTGATTAAGGATCTTGAGATGGGAAGATTATCCCGAATTATCTGAGTGGACCCTATGTGCAATCACAAGTATCCGTACTCTGAGGCAAAGGGAGACTTGACACAGACAGAATTGCAGAAGGCAATGTGACCACAGAGGCAGAAATGGGAGTGATGTGGCCACAAGCCAAGGAATGCTGACAGCCACCAGAAGCTGGACGAGGCAAGGAATAAATTCTCCCCCAGGGCTTCTGGAGGGAGCATGGCTCTGCTGACAGCTTGATTTCAGCGCAGTAACCGATTTTGGATGTCTGGCCTCCATAACTGTGGGAGAGTACATTTCTGATGTTGCAAACCTCCAACTTTGTGGCAACTTGTTAAGCAGCAATGTGAAACGGATAAACTAGTTAAACACATTCACATGGCTGTATTCCAGTAAAACTTTATTTACAAAAAAACAGGTGGCTGACATGTGGCAAAATACAGATTCTAGTTTGCTGACCCCTGAATTAGACATTAAAAGGTCTAGGTGCACAAGATGAGGTTGGAGAGAGAAGTCAGGAATAAATATTTGGAAATCATTATTCAGAAAAAACAATAAATACAGACACTCACTTGAGCTCCCTTTGCCAGGAAGGAGAAACGAGGAGGAGCCAGAAAGCATTTTAATATCCTGTCCATGACCCACTCAGAGATGAACCCAAATAAAATGTCTGGGGATTGTGACGTGGACAGACTCCTCCAGGTGGAGCCTCCCTTGGAGGGACTTCGACAGCTTCTGCTGGGCCTGCTAAGCCTGGAAGAGTGGGTATGCTGAGGTGTAGGTGTGCAGGGGGTGGGAGGTGTGGTGGAGACACCCACCTGTGGTTGTAAACATCCTCCAGGACACCCAACTGGGACCAGAGCTCTCACTTCTCTTTCTGCCTACCCCTGCAGAGAGGATGCAGCTGCCCCGAGCACCCCACTTCTCTCCCACTAACACACAGAGAAGCGGGTGCCACACATGTGTGCACACGCACTACTTCTCAAGGCCCATTGCAGAGGAAAGGCCCACCGGCACTCACCAGACACAAAGGCCACTTTTTCCTTTAGGATGGGAAGGACATCAGAAGCTTTCAAACCATCATTCCGAAAGGAACCTGTGGAATAAGAAAACAGAAGGCATCAGGGTGAAAGAGGCCGGAGAGCTGAATCCCTGGGTCCCACCCTCATCCTCCCTACCTCATCATGGACCAGAAAGCTATACCTTGTTCAGGCCCTACAACCCAGCCCAATGGAACAGGAGAGAGTCCACCACAAAAAGAACACTTCTACACGATGACCGGCCACAGGGGTGACCAACGGAGTGAGGTCCTCCTGGTCCCTTTTAGGGAGAAGACAGTCCATGTCAACCCCCCACCACCACATATATGAAACTCCATGCCCTGGAGGCAACAACCATACCCTGCTGCTGTGAACCTGAAGATGGGCCTTGGTAAAAAGTCATTTTTTTACATCTAGTGCTAGCACAGTGCCTGGTACATAGTCAACACTCAGTAAATATCTGCTGAACATGTTAATTAATATAAGATGGACCACAATGCCCTAAATAATTCTTTTTGCCTTTCCTCTATGTGGCACAGCAACTGTGAGTCTTCACTTTACAAATGGCAAAGAAAACCACAAAAATCCCCAAGTGAGAAGCAACATTGAATGCAATCCCCTTCTCCACTTTTCTCTCCCGCCCCTTCAAGGTCACCACCATTGGTCCATGACAAACAGGAGGCAGGAGACACCAATTTCCTGGGAAGGAAACATACTCCCTTCTTCAGCGACTCATTCTCTGCGTATCCCTCGCTTCTCTGTTGGAAAGTCCTTTCTAGGGTCTAGTTGAATTCCTGTTAGGGGGTTAGAGGCAGAGGCCTGGGGCTCACACTGAATGGACGATAACAATGTGCCTGGAGAAACAGTGGCCTCGGGGAGCAAAGGACAACCTAGCCCAGGATGAGATGCGTGGGAAGGGAGGACTCAGCTTCCGCACACACACAAAAGCCCATGCCAGCCCACTGGGTCCCTGTTGTTTAGCCTGAACACCCCCACAAGAACTCTCAGGCAAAGCCAGCCCACACTCATATCTCTGCTGTGTATCACCACTGGGGACATGGCACAAATGGACCACGGAAGAGAGGTGGCTCAGTGTCAGCTCAGTGAGATAGAACCAGGGACCACGGACATCCCCTCTAGAGCCTTTCTGCACTTGGCTTACTCCCTTGCAGTACAAATGCGACAACCTACAGGGGGAGAAAGGTGCTGGGCAGGACAGTCCTCCTCAGGGCTGTCTCAATCCCTAAACATTGACTATTTCAAGATCCGGAAATGTTGGGACTTGGGGTAACAACCCAGGATGAAGATCACTGGGAATGAGCCTTGGCCCCCTCAACCACAAAGGAGAACTGACGTGTCCCCAGGATGCCAGCTGCTGTGGCCAGATGTCATACCCTAACCCAAAACAAGTTTCCTGAGTGTCTCTGATGATTCACCTGTTTCTTCTTTGTCATTTTTCACTAAATGAAGACAGTGAGCCTTTTTATCCATCAGTGGCTTCTCTGTACAAGTTGGCCCATAGGACCTGATGCTGGAGTGACCACTGCAAGGCTCACGTTGAGAAGACCCCAGGCAACAGAAGAAAAAATAACACCATCAAAATAAAGTTCTCACTATAAGCATTGTTTTGTACTTTTTATCCGTAGTTTCTACAGATCCTTATGCTCTGACTTTATTCCAACACAGAAAAGCTACTAAACCTCACTAGTAGAAATTAATTAGGATCGAGAGAAATTACAAAGCGATACATAGGTTTGTTTTTTTACCCTCATGCAAGTTTCCGCTTTCTTGGTAATGAAGAGTCCTATCAGGCTTTACCAACAAGACAAGGATCATCTTCAATTAATATAGGAACTATTTATGCAAAATAATGCTTCTGCTTCAAAATAGCTTATTTTCATATATGAAATGTCTTTCTATACTACAGTTTTAAAACATTCTCCTCTACATCACCATGCACACTATTCATTTCTATAGAAAAAAAATTTTTAATATGAAAATCTAACCTTCAGCCCTGTCTTCCAGATTATCTACAATTTCAAAAATAGCAAGGACCAAACTAAGGAGATTCTACTGGATAACAAGAATCTGTATAGCCCTCTTCTCTCTTATACTCCTGCCCTATTTTTCCACGGCTGTTCCTTTCCTCTCTTCCTGTGTTAAAGTATATAAGAGCACTCTAATTCCACACAGTCCCCAGACTTCATTAAGGAAGAGCTTGGCGTTTGCTATAGGAGCACAATGTTCCCAATCCTGCTCCCTGTGTTCCCACCAGTGGAAAAGGAGAGAAAGCTCTGAGTCTCATCCTTCTACCCCACTCATCATGCCCACTGCTCGTCTCTTCCAGGCTCCAGGGCCTGAGAGAAGGAGAGCAGCTCATCCAGGCAGCTTGCAATCGCGGGCTCCGGGAAATGGCAGTATCTTGGCCTGGGCTGGTCTGAGATTCCTACGGCTTTCCAGGTCAGTCTTCCCCCATCCACTCAGATCCCCTCTGTGGTATCTGTCCGGTTGTGCCCACCACAGAAACCTAAAGTGTCCAGATTGACAAAACCTTTATCTAGGGGATAATCATTTCTAACAACAATAACAAGGTTTTTCACATTACAAAAGGAGTTGCTCCAGGGTTTCTTTAAATACAATCTGCCTTTGCGGTTTGCATTAGTCCTTCATTTGCCAAAAATTGAATTACAAATAGCTTTTCAACAACATATGTATTCTACAGAGCCAAGTAGAGCTAAACTAATTTGCCCAAGAGCTCAGAAGTCCGTAACTTTGCATAGAACACCTATTTGCACTGGCTGAAGGTCCTATGGATTGGTGCCCCCAGGGCCCTTGTAAAACCAGCTGTCAGAATCTACACTAAAGGGGAAGTTAATTCAACACCAATTCAAACAGGACCAATAAAACAGCAACATGTTTTCACCATCAGGTACATGTCTGGGCAGACTCATGGTAAATGTTCAATAAATATTTGATGAAATGATAAATAAATGAATGAAATGCCAACCCTTCCTAAAGTGACTTGCACAAAGTCAGTGGCCTCATCTGTCACACCAAGTGCTGGTGATCTGAGTGGATGATCTCTAGAGTACCACTCAGCTCTAATATTCTGAGACTTTTCAAACCTTTTATTTTTAATTAAAATTATTGGGGTGACATTGGTTAATAAAATTATACAGGTATCAAGTATACAATTTTATAATACATCATCTAAATATTGCATTGTATGTTCATCACCTAAAGTCAGATCTCCTTCCATCACCATATATTTGATTCCCTTTACCCTCTTCTACCACTTCCCCCTCCCCCCTTACCCTCTGGTAACCACTAAACTGTTGTCTGTGTCTATGAGTTTTTGTTTGTTTGTTTGTCTTGTTCATTTGTTCCTTTCAGTTTTATATCCTACATATCAGTGAAATCATATGGTTCTCAGCTTTTTCTGTCTGACCTATTTTGCTTAGTATAATAATCTCAAGATCCATCCATGTTGTCACAAATGGCACGATGTCATCTTTTCGTAGGGCAGACTAGTATTCCATTGTGTATATATACCACATCTTCTTTAGCCAGTCATCTATCGAAGGACACTTAGGTTGTTTCCATGTCGTGGCCACTGTGAATAATGCTGCAGTGAACCTAGAGGTACACATGTATCTTTACAGATAAATGTTTTCGGATTTGGGGGGTAGATACCAAAAGGGATTGCTGGGTTATATGGTAATTCTATTCTTAGTTTTTTTTGAGGAACCTCCATACTGTTTTCCATAGTGGCTGTACCAGTTTACATTCCCACCAGCAGTGTATGAGGGTTCCTTTTTCTCCACAACCTCTCAACACTTGTTATTACTTGTCTTGTTGATAATAGACATTCTAACAAGTGTGAAGTGGTATCTCGTCAAATCTTTTCTACATATTTATTGACTTTTAAGATCCTCAGATTATCAGATCAATATGCTTTGAGAGGAAGTACTAGGATCAAATTCCCTGGAGAGTCAATGTACTTTGAGATGATGAAACGACTCTTCCCTGCCTTCCCAGCTTATTCTTTCCCAGGAATCAGCTTAGGGATTGTGATGCTCAAGGCCCATCACCCTATTTTGCAGGTAACCCAAGTTACCAAAATGGGAGATTAGTAATAGAAGAACTTCTGTGAGGAATATTTCAGCTACAATCGCAATCTCTGATACAAGGTATATTTGATTGCACTATTAGATTATAAACTCTAGACCAACCGTACACTGGCTTCCCCCTCTAAAGGTAAAGCCTGTTGAAACAGTAGGCCCCTTGCTACCTCTAATGAAAGCCTGAGAACAAATAAAAGCCCCTACACCATGGGAGTTACTGCAAGAGAAAAGAAAAGAAAAAAACAAACCCAAAGGGCACCCTCATGGACCTGCCCCAATGGGAGTGCTGTGCTTTCTCTTAGGGACAAAGGCATGCTCCACTGGCATTCAGTGCCAATCTTACCCCATTCGCGTCCTGCTGCTGGCAGAATTACAAGCCTGCTGTTCCCGTTAATTAGCAAAGTTGAAATGCTCTGCCTCTATTAGGGAAGTAAAAATTACCACCGCCATCTCCCCAGGACCTCCAGCGTGGGTCTTCTCCGAGCCCCACTTCTCCAGATGCGTTACGCTTACATTGCTGCTGCCTGTTCTCTTCACACCCCCCTAGTCACCATTCCCCATGCTGGAAAACGCAGAGCATCCTTACTCTGGCTGCCAGCCTATCTGTGGCCCCAGCAGGACTGGCCCTTTGTGTCACAGTCCCTGTGCATGGTTTTGTGGCGCTGGGATGGCAGTGAGTTCCCCAGGGCAGCTAGGTACCTTGTGCTCCATGTTAACTTCCTTCAGAAAGTTATTTTGATTTCAACAAGTGAAGCAACAAACTGGTAAGTGTTGAGCATTTGGAGGTGCAAGCTGCCAGGGTACCCATGGATTGCTCTTTACTTCCTTTGGTTCTTAGTCACACCCTTTTAATTTGCACTTATTTAGAAGTTACTGTGTCAGTATTCTACCATTGCTTTAAGTGGGCCTGACCCCTGTTTCACTGCCGAGAT